GTGAGGGGTTTCTTTGTGACCACTGGGGACATGGTGTGCTGGTTCCTGTAGTGGGGTCTCTGCTGGTCCACCAGGGGTAGTGTGCGCTGCTGGAGTTGGTTTCGGTGCTCGTCGCTCAGGGCCATGTAAGCTGCTCAAGACAAAGCACAAACTAATGCTTATGGACTTTGTAAAAAAGATATTGGGCCAAATGCAATGACGTGTCCCAGCTAGTCATGGTTCACACTCACACATCAACACATGAGCCTCGGACAGGCTCACAGTGAACATTGCTTTATTTTTATATATTTAAGAAAATAGGGGGAAAATACTCCTTTTGTCTTGCACTATGAACATCATTTTAAGCTGGTAAAATGCCTCTAAAACTGTTTATCGGGGGGAGGGCACTGTGTTGACCTGGGCAAGTCTACAAAAAGTCTTAACTGCCTGTGCTGTGGTCACAGCTTTTGCTCTCTGGTTCACACAAGGAATGACAGGCTTGTTAAAAAATACGAAGGGAACCTCAATAATAACCGGTCTTGAAGTTCTGTTGATGAAATGCCAATTAGAAACTAAATGTACTTCATTACCCATTTCATGTTTGATTTGCTTTGATGTCTTTTCAAACATTACGAAAAGACATTACATTTTGTTACAATATAACAAAAAAAACTGCCAAATAAAGAAGTCAATGAAGAAAACTAATTACATTTACATATAACTACGACAGTTTCATGCTAATAAATTGTTTATCAGGATAACCAGTGTAATTGTCATAACTTTACTCCTGAAACTTTAGCCCTTTTCCTTTTTGAGGGTAATAACTATAGTAACCAACATTAAAGACAAACCTCTTTTAATTAGTGGCCTTGGAGGAAAGACAGTCCACACAGAATACTCACGGGCCATGACACTTGGTGAATTTGTAACTTAACCAAGAATATTTGACATGACTAAAGCACTGTTCCACTGTATCTAGCATTGTCCACAACAAATAGCAACATGCGGATCACATAACACTGTTGACCACTATGGAAACTGACCACTGCACCCAACTGATACCTGTTCCCTCATTGTCAGCCTGTGCATGATACTTGCAGTGTTTGATCTGCTGATTTGAATCACAGAAATCCACCACAATCAGGACTGGTTACCCAGTCTACTGTTGTTTAATCTTGTTTGCACAATCCATCCTGATGAGTTGTTCATCAACTTTTGTCACTGTTCATGTAGATAGACTTGAAGGCTGAGTTCAAGCGGCTTGTTCTTGTGTGGTCACAAACAGCTTGATTTGTTGTTCATGGGTCGGCCACTCAAACACCGAGAACATACAACCGGTTATTATCACTGGTAGTTATTTGTGGCACGCAACATGCAATATGGCAGCGTCCTTGTGCATTCTTTGAGAGATAATGTCGGATAACTGGGCTAACTTCTTTTCCATTAAAAAAAAATCATTTGTCATGGAAATTATTAATGTTAATATTGCGACACTTTCCATTGTCTCCGGGTTTGTTAGCTGCATCAATGCGAGGTGTTCAAATACCAAATCTCACAAGTTTTTCTGTGTGTTCATGTAAAATCCTGATGAGCAGGTGGTGTGTGATCCTGTTCAGTGAACAGTGTTCTTGGGTCATGTTCCCGCCGTTCGAGCAAAAGAACACAAAACCCGCGTCAAGAACAGGCCACCCAAACTCGACCAAAGTGTTGCAAGGTTGTTTGTTGTGGCAAAATGTTGGCAGATTTCCTTTCTATCCAACCAAAATCTGTATTCCATAGAAAACTTACCTATTGGAACAGTACAAAGTGCTCTTGAAGATTGTTCATTGCCCAACTGATCTATTTTGATGGTGAACACTGAAGGCACACCTTCTTCTCTTGCTAAGGCAGGCCTCCCCCTTTCTTGATTGTGGTTCTGCCCTTCTCTGCCTGTGTCATACAGTCTTGGGTTGGCTGACTTGGGTCGATGTATGTGGTTGCGGGTGACAGCTAGAAAATGACGGTTCAAAACCTCTTCCGGAGCTGACCCGCAAAAAAGTACATTGGAAATTGTGTCAAAATGTGGGACTCAGTTTGATGAAATTCAAGTTCTCTATAATGAATCACTCTAAATGTGTGAAAGTGTCATATTATGGTAGTTTTCCTTGTAAACTTCCTAAAAACTAAAACTTGGCCAGTTTGCATGCATCTTTCTTGACAAAGCTGGTGGTCGCTCAGGATTCCATACCAAATTTGTATTTGCAAATCCATTTGCAGAGCTTTCTTTCATTCAACTGAATGGCACAGTCTATGTGAGGGAAAACAAATTTGTTTTAGGAACGAGTTCATGCAAAAACAGCACATGCCATTATGCAGCCAAGTGAGGATGGACAAAAAAGCGGTTGACCACATCTTGGCCTTCTCCAATCTCCATCTTAATCTTTGGGCTTCAGTTTCGTGAATGTAACAGTCCAGGTTTGAGACCCTAAGTTTAATACCACTCCTTTTTTTGTAGAATCACATCAGACTGGTAAATTTTCGGCCACAATGTGGAGTATTTTCATTAGATTCCAGTACCAAATGTCAAATTGAGATGAAAGACGAAGACAGAGACTAAGCCAAGATCTAGAAAAAGGCAGCTACATGCATGCCCTGGTGTGTGCAAGAGAATGGCATAGAGTTGCGTGACCAATTTTCAACGGAATTTGTACAAATATTTGGTGTTTCATATAAGGGGAACCCACCTAACAGCATGATAAAAACGATGCCAGTTATCTGTCAAAGTGACAGTAATTGTGTCTAAAAGATATGGCTGTGACTAGAAACAATGCATGAGCCTATGAAAGCTACTGCCTAGTGGCTACTGCCAGTTCCCATAGATGCATGCATTATACCAAGCTGTAGCCAGTTGATTTGGACACAGATTAAGTGCACTGTTGACTTTTTTTTCTCCTTTTTTTTTCAATGTTGGTTCAGACTGTTGTGAGTCCCACCTGTTAAAATCACATATGAAATGCTTACAGCATTTAAATGACTGCTTAGGGAAGGCTGAGCTAGTGCAGAGGAAGTGCAGAATGGTTGCCAAGTGCAGAGGTGAAGCGCCAGTGAAAAAGAAATTGAGCCGTCCAGAGAAGGAATCTGGAGAATCAGTTGCAGGATTCTAGACAGAATAGATCACAAGCCCAGAAGAACCAGAGAGAAATTCACAATGGCAGAAATGACAAATTCTAATCATAGTTTTGGACAAAGAATATATACTTACTTTGTGGGCAAAAAGATATCAAATTTATTAAGTTTTCATCTGAGTATATGGACTTTCGAGGATCACAAAAAGAACCTTTGAAACATGCAATTTGAAAAAATGGAATTGACTGAGGTTAGTCATGCCGTGGTCATGCATGTTGAAAAAAGGGGGCAGATATGAACATATGATGACGCCCAACATGAAACTATTTGTACGCAAATTCAGGTATTTATTACAAATAAATTTAACAGCACATTGATTTTTACATGCTGAATGAAACAAAGACTTCTTTACTTATGAAAGGACCTTTATATTGTTAAACCATTGTTAAACTTGACAGACAATCATTATTTATACAGAGTTAGTCCATTAGTACATACATGTAGATACTGTACATTGGTACGCACGTCTCAAACTACCAAATATCCCCGTGATGTATTTTACAAGGCACACATTGCATTCACCAATTTACTCCAAATAGAAATAATATTCAATTGTACCACATGAACTTTTCTCATATCACCAACCCGAGGTAAACTTGTTGCTAGGAAGCAAAGCCCCCTCTCTTGATTGTGCACACAGCTCATGGGATGAATATATATCGGTTTGTACCAATAGCACTGCTGCTTATGGTATGAGCCATTGATTCCTCCCCTCCCACCAAAAAACCCCTTGCTTACATGTACAAAGGAAACATTGGGGGTCTCCAGTATTTTGACGACAAATGCTATGGGGGGGGATATTTTGCTATTTAAGCAGTCAAAATGGAGTCAGAAAAGTGATGACATCTAAATGTCAATATGTATGTATGCATGATGCAGTGCTTTCATATTTAATTAATTCATGTTAAAAAATGCAACATGCAAAAACTCTATGCAGAGAAAATAACCATAAAATTGCAACTTCTTTTTTTCAAGCAGGAATAGCAGGTGCAGGTCTATGTAGCACTGGATGATTGGGGGTCCTGCAGTGCAGAAGAGTCACTGGTGAGTTCATGCACATACAATGTAGGGCATGCATGAGTACTTTTCAACTGAATGTGTACAAAACTGCTCTCTCTCTCTCGGGTGCAGATCCAGAACCAAATTGTGGGGGAGGGGGGGAAGAAATGGGGCTAAACTTTTTTTTTGAGGGGTGTACAAATTTTGGAAGTATTTTCA